CTATATTTTAGGATATAGTCCGACGAATAAGTATTCCCTTTATTATCCTAGTTAACACTCTAGTACCTACTCTATTAAGGAACCCTACCTTAGTCGGAACTACTTATAGCTCGGATTATAACACTAAGTTAGCGATTTCGTCCCTATATCGGTATTTTAGGAGTAAAAAGTAAGCAAGATCGAGTAGCTATAGGATATAACTAGAATAAGGTATTAAATAGACTAGGGTAATTCGATTTATATAGTATTTCTATATAAATTCGTATATAGTATAACTTTTATACCTATTAAGAAGGAGTAGTCGATATTTATTTAATACTATTTAAGAGATAAATATTTAACGTAGCTAGGCTAATCCGATATTATTTAAGGTTTATCTATTTAGTAATACCGTATATAAGTAGTTAGGAATATCGGGATCTATAAACTAGGTCGATTAAAGCGTATTTCCTTTAAATATAACGAGGTATTAGAGTCGACGACTAGTAGCTAAAATCGTCTCGATAATTAATACCTATTCTCGATTCTCTAGTATTACCTTATATAATAAAGTAGTAGCCGCCTTACTAACTACTCGTTAGTTACTATAGACACCTAATACGATGCCTATCTCATCTATATTGTAGATATTATTCTATAAGACCTAATATCGCTCTCGTACGAAATTAAAATACTTAAACTAGTAAGCTAGGGACTTAGGAGTAACGCTTTATAATCGTAATCTATAGATCTTTTTACCTACCTTAGAGTAAATCTTAGGATACCGATTAATAAATCGTAATATCTAATTTTAGCTAATACTTAAGGGCCCTATAGAATTACCTTAGATAATAACGACGAGATCTCGTACTTAAGTAAAGCTAGGAGGGTGTCCTTACGCCTTAAGGTTAAGTATTCATCGTATAAGTATCTACTCTTATTAATTTAATAATATTTACTGTAGTTCACGAGCTATAGCTCGTAAAATGCTACCCTATAGTCGACGGCTAAGAGTCTTTCGATCTACGTTATTTACTACGGCGGTAGAGCGAATAGTTAAATATCGACGAGTTTTATAGTCTAGAATAGCCTATTAGATCCTAGCCTCTCGATTAGATACCATTTTATCGTACGAATAGAATTGTTGTGAGTGTAGTTAAGAGTAGAAGAGAAGGAGTGTTTGAATGAAACGCGTTTTGACGCGTGGGTCATTACAGGGGTGGGTCATTACGTGGTGCCTAGACTTAGTACTAGGAGCATTGACACGCCCAAATATTTTAGCTTGTGTCCTCAAATCATTGGTTCTCGGGGCCTGACCAGAGAAAGCCGCTGCTGCATGGCGCTAACTAGGACTGGTTTAGTATCTTGGCATTGGCCGCTTCCTTATTGAGAAATTGCTTTGGTTCCCTACAATCACCACAGCTTTCACATGTGTGGTCCATACTGAAATGGATCCTGTCGATTCTCAATGCATTACTGTTGAACCGCCTCCAGGGACGAAATACCTGACCCATGGGTTTGCTGCCCATATTTACGTAACACTTGATTCCGACTATGTGATAAAGCGACCTAAGGAGTTTGAGGACGACGAGAGCCTGGACTTCCGTGGGCTTGTTGACAATGAGAGGGAGATCTATGATCGCATAGGCAATCACGATGGGGTCATTGGATACCATGGATACGATCAGAAGAGCGGGTCGATCAAGCTAGTATGTGCCAGTGATGGCGACCTGACAGATTTCATCAAAAACAAACCCAAGCCGGATCAGAAGATGCGTTCTAAAATGATGAGGCATATATCCAACACTCTGCTCTACTTTTATTCACACAATGTCGCTATACAGGACATTAAAACTGACAACGTGCTTATGCATCGCGGAATACCAAAGCTCTGCGACTTTACTCAAGGTATCCGATATCCCCTGACTGAGAAGATGCAGGATGTTTGCCCCGAGGAGGTATTAGGCAGGGATCTTCTTGGGATTGGTTGTGTTCTCTATTCTATCTCTACCTGGAAGGTCTTCAACTACGATTTCGACAACGAAAGGCGCTGGCCCACTTCGGATGACCTGGAGTCGACGGAAAATGTCCAATTCGGGAAAATTATCGAAAATTGCTGGCACAGAAAGTATAGCTCTATTGAAGACTTTCACAACGACATCACCGGGGTTGAGACAGAGTGAGAGTACTACGTCAACCGAAATCAGAGTGATGTGAATTGTCCTAATCGGGGTGCTTCCATCATGAGACACCATAAATGCCTCGCCCGTCGAACCGCTGATGGTCTTGTGATGTCTTGAATACCCTTTGCTTCATTTCCGCCGGGTGACATCTCGGGATTTCCTGAAAGGATTTATCTTGAAATAAGAAAAGCTCGGGAGCTGGCTGGTCGGCTTTAAGGAACGATTTGTACATCGTGATCAGAGTCACCGGCATTCTGTCGCTTCCTCTGGGGCGGAGAATATTGCTGGGAACGTCTGTTGAGGCGTTTGGTGGATATTCTATTCGAAAAGGGCTCATCCGCTAAGACTTCAGATTCGTGGAGCCCAATAGTTGTGTTAGAATCGGTGCTCAGCGAGATTCGGGACTCTTGGCTAAGCGTTTCGGTCACATTGGTTTCATCCAATTCAGGCTCATTGGTGAAGCTGTAGACTTGCTCAAAACATGCATCGGCTGCCAGTGCCGTAGATTGACTGTCACCTACTCTCTCGTTCGCCTGCGTGATTGCTCGGTCCCTCTACTCCTTTGCCCAGGCTCTGGCCTCTCTATAGGCAGTGGCTCCTTGTCGGTAGGTTTCATCATTGCCAGTCATGCCCCAAGTATTGACTTGATGTATATAAAATTGAGGTCGACCTCCTAGACTAGCGGGCCGGCCAGGGTAGATGGTGTATATCTTAAGTGTACCGTCGTGGTATGTTGATATAATAGTGTAAGCATTGTTGTCAAATATTGGTTCATCTTGCCCATATGACTGCAGGAGGAGCATACCTCTCGCTCCCAATGCCCCGTCATAACAAGCTTGCCTTTTCGCCACAGCAGCTGATCCATCCGGCCCTTTCACAGCCAGGAAGAAATTCGGCACTATAGGAAGGTCTTCCTGTGTCGAAGGAATAATATAGCCGCTCAGCTCGTCGCGAACCCGTCGATCAAGTTGCTCGGGGCGTACACCGTAGTAGATATCTAGGTTACCGGGCACAATCGTGCCGTTCGTGAAATGATCGAGGTTTATAAAAGGGATTCCTCCCGAAACGCATTTACTATTACCGATACTTCCTTCGATGATTGGAATCACCGTAGTTATTACTTACTTCTCTTTAATAGCGTCTACATCTACTTATATAAAGGTTTCATGACCTTCCTGAACTTCGAAGGCGAAAGAGAGCGTCGTAACTAGGTTAACCGCCGATTGATCTCCTCCTAGTTATTTAGCTTCGTAGGAACCCGGCTATCTAGGTATCTATACCTATAAGGGTAGACGCCACCATTAATGAGGTTCTAATAGAAATTCCTATTATAGGGCCTAGTGCTCTTGGTAGTTATGGTATTTAAAGTAGATTAGCTATTCGAAGTAGATCTAGAACCGCGTTTCCGTTTACGAGAGCTAGATTAGGTCGTTCTCATCGCTTAATTTAGAGGGTCAATAGGTTCTCGAAACTAGCGAAAGGTTAGAAACTAAGGATAGAAGATAGAGTTGCTACGTATACCTCTTACGTCGGATAAATCTAGACCGCCGACTCTAGCAAATTACTTTATCTCCTTTAAAGACCTTTTTCGGTAATAATAGAGGAAGTCGGTAGTAGATTAGGTAGGGAGATAGCCCTTCGTTAGCTTATCGAGAGCGCCCCGAGTAATCGGGCGGAGTAGATTTTAGGAGGGTAGATAATAATTCGGAGCGACTTAAGTGTTCCTTCGATCTAGCTCTTCCAACGCGTCTTTAGTTAAGTTAATTCTCGATAAATTATCCTAAAATATTGCTGGAAATCGAGGTTTAATATAGTGGCTGCGCTTTATTCTTTTGGAGACGTACTAAGATGTTTAGTCCGGTGGACGCGAAAGCTCCTCTAGATTTCGACGCTTGCGCGGGTTGAAGAATTGTGGTATATGGCAATCGGGTTCACATGAGCAGAGGGGAGATCGAGCATGATGGCACTTGGGCGCTTATATCCTGCGTTTCTGGCCATCCCTTCCGGAATGTTTCGAGAGGTTGGAGTCGGCACCATTTCGGAGGTGTTGCACCCCCGCCTTTGTTGTCTTGGCGGCAGAAGATGACACACGCCAAAACCTAAACTTTTGAACATATGGTGCTCCATGGTGATTTCAACCTAACCAGCTCAGTTATTTGCTTGTGAAAGCTACTGCCAAATGTTGGCGACAAAGTCATTCGTCTTACAAGACATATAAGCAATCTTCGCACCCAGCTTTCGTAACACTTCGGAGGGACTTCAGCCTGTTGTCGGTCGCTGAAACTTCCAAGTCATCCAACTAGCCACCAACACCGTTCACGGTCAGTGCTGCTGTATATTTCCCACAAGACCCCTGCCCGGTACTTCAATGGATATCATCAAACAGCCGAGGACCAACCCGAGTATGGTCATTCGTAACGTTAAAGTAACATTGCAGCCACAATTAGCCACGCCCGCCACAGAAGTATGGCTTGTTACGTTCACGTGCTGTCTCAATCTCCTGCCGCTTTATATATACCCCGAGAGTAGTAGTCCACACGTGATTTTCTCGTTATGTAATATTGTGACGCGACTGGTTAGCTAGTAGCACGCAACATCCATCTCAACAAGGCGTTCCTGCGCCGCCATTTCACTATCCCTAACCTGCACCTTCGCAACCCCCCTCCCTAAATTTAAGCTCTTTGCGGCCATCAGCTGGGCCGCCACCATATCACACAAATGTCGTTGCAGCAGCGACTGGTCTCTCGCACGACTAGATGCGTAGGATATATTGCCAGCGTGAATGCCATGTCGCTGTTGAGTATCGTTCTTTCTGCGCCCCTCTACATGGTTCAAACGAGTCCTTATCAATCGCGGCCTCAGCCTAACTGACAAATCTTCAGAGTTTGCCCAACGTGGTGATTCAGCCTCATCGCGGCCAGACCCTCGATGATCAGACAAAGCTTCGACTCCCTGACAGCTTCTTGCAGAGGCCAGGTGTTGAGATCTACAACCTCAAGCGGTACTCCCAGCGTACATAACCACTATTGCCAAAGCCCTCATCCCTGATCCCATCGAGCTTCCCAGGTGCGATAAACGCAACGAATAGCTCCACCATTTCACCAATTCCTAAATCTGGCGGCGGCGAAATGGCGTCATGGGGGTCCATTGTGGGGTCCACAGTTGAAGGTATATCAGGAATTGTGCTGATCGTGACGGCGTACCTGCCATAGCTAGGTTATGAGGCAAAGATTCGACGCAGTGCGGCACTGTCGTAGGTGAGCAATGACCAAGTGATGGAAGACCCCACACTCTGCACCAGTGATAATACCAAGCTTCGAATGTTGATTAAAAGTCAGGACCATGACATATTCACAGGGGCAGGTCAGATTCGGGCAAATATCGAAGCGAGGAGTTTGGAAGAAAATTGCTGTCCTACCTGCGGTTACAGTTGCTGACATGTGGTTCGCATCATCTGCTGCACTTCGGACGCGTACCCAATGAATGTGCGTACAATAGAGAGAAGCACGGTGACTGGGCTTTAAGGGCGTATGAAAATTGATATTCCTTGCTTAACGGAGTTTGTCGAGCAATACTTGAGGAATGATACGTTCATTGGTGCTGTTGAACAGCAACCATGGAGCCAGGTAGTGAAAGCCATCCCTTTCGTTGGTCAACTCCAGTAGCACCTCCATCATGGCCTGTTTGTCTCTCAGCTTGGAAAGAAGAACGCTCAAATCCTTGTCAATATCATCTGGTAACCGCCGCAGGTAGGTAATGACGCATGCAGCTATGCCGGCTGCGATATGAGTGGCGACTGAACTCCCAGACAACTCCTTTCTTGATGTCTGTCCGTTTGCACTCAGTTTCATGGGCCATGAGGACATGACACCTTCTCCGAGAGTGCTCAAGTCTGTCCTATCATCAAATGGTCTTGGAGTGAATTTTGAGATATTGCCCTCCCCATCAGTAGCTCCAACGGAGATAACTTCATGCCTACTAGCAGGATATCCGAGTCGTTGGCTACCTCTTCCGCTGCTTGCTGGAGCAAACATCAGGACTCCGGCAGCGTTTGCTTTTATTATTGAGGCTTGAATGCCTTCTAATCTCGGAGTGTAATCTGGAAAGCTGAATGACATGGAGATTATGTCAACGCTCTCGTGAATCGCCCAGTGGATGGCCTTGTTATAATGAGTACATGGCTTCAAGCAGGCATGGAAACGTACCTCTGCGATACAATCAGGATTTTCCAACTTGTCGCTAGCTGTCACACGCGCCACGAAAACTTCCGCCGTTTTCGCAATTTTAAGTAAGAGCGCAGTACAGAAGGTTCCATGTCCATTTGAATCCTGGGGATCTTCCGGGAAGTCATCCTCCTCGCCAATGAGAAAACTTTTGTATTTGATTCGATCCCTCGCTTCTCGGATCCTACGATCGGATGGGTCCATGCCAGTATCAAGGATGGCAATTCTTATCCGACCCTTCTCATTGTTGGAGCGCTTTTGAATGAGAGGGACGACATTCGCATCGAATCTTTCGAACCACAATTCAGCGAGAGCTCGCCTAGCAAAGTTAGCTGGTGGATCCAATATGATCAAGACGAGGGTACAAACGCTTCCTTTGGTGCATCGTCATCACCATCATCATCAAAGAGGCTGAACTTTTGAGCATTGAGAATATCTTTCTGCTGTAGGCGATTCGTGATAAATGTCCAAGCTTGCGGCGTCCTTCCTGTGTAGTCGGGTATCTGCAATCCTGCCGGGCCATCATGATGGGCGAGAAGAAGTTCGACCACATCCAAGTGCCCTTCCATAGTCGCTACCATCAGTGCCGTTCGACCCATCGAGTCCTTCAAATTGACGTCAATACGAGGATGCTGCAACAGTGCTTCGATGACTTTGACGTGTCCTCTTCTTGCGGCAGCTATAAGTGGAGTCTGCTCCTTCTCATCTTGAGAATTGACCCTCACCAACGGTTGGCTCAATATGAAAGTCACGATGTCGACATATCCTTTCTCTGCAGCGTAGAACAGTGGTGATCGATCAGTTTGGTCTCTGTCATCGATCATGTCGGGTGTTAGTTTCAAAACCGCGTTGAAGGCAGATAATTTCCCGTTCGCTGCGGCCAGTGAGAGAATACTCTGTCCTCGGCTATCCTTCGTCGATGGATTCGCGCCTCGTGATAGCAGACCATTCACAAGATCTATGTTTCCGTCAATGACGGCCAAAGCTAGATACGAGCGTCCTTTGCGATCCACAACATCAATGCTTGCTCCATGGTCCAAAAGTAAATATATCATCTCGCTTTGACTACTTTGCATAGCCCAGGTCATCGGATCTCTCCCCAGGGAGTCTTTTGCGTTCACATCTTGAAAGTAGTCGGACATCAAAAGCGACAACTGTGTCAAGCCAAAATGAGCTAGAAGGTGAAGCGGAGTGATCAATTCCGATCCCAAAACACTGCTGCGGGAAAAGCGATGGTTGCGAGATTGCATGATCTGGCAGCAGCAGGCCAATTTGCTATTATGATGAAGCAACCTTGAAGCAACAACCAAAATCTCATTTGGTACCACTTCCCGAGCATGAAAGCCCCAAAAGCTAGCTGCATAATGGAGAAAAGGATAATCCTCCTTCCGCTGTTGTAGTTTTTGTGCATCCGTGCATGGGCCGTCGCCGAAACAATCGAAGCTAAGGTATGTCAGACATGCGGTGGCAATTCGCTTCTGGCCATTCTCGAAGCGCTCTTGCATGATCCTTTGAAAGAATTCGTCTACCGATACATGCACAAAAGTGAGGAGATTGCTGTCCGCGTTGAAAGCAACCAAGCCACCGCACACTGAAACCACGTCGTCAACTGATATCAACGAGTCTCGATCAAGAAACTTGCTACCTTCCTCGATAGCCAATGCATGCTGCAGCTCTTGAGCAGACATTGGTCTTCGAGCATAAGCGAGCCACTCAAAAACTTGGAATGCAAGCTCGCGGGAGAACTTATCTTGGTCTTCGACTGTGGCCAACAACGCCTCATACATGCCTGAAATATCAGTGGGTCCCGGTCTCAATGCACTCTTGATTTGCCGGACGGTCCTAAGCGGCACCAGTGACTCAACTAGGAGTTTGGCAACGAGAAATCTGGACTCAATATGTAAGCTATGGTCACAATTGAGAAGCTGAAAACCTACACGCCAGCAGAGCGCTTCATGATTTCGGCCACTATGAATGACTGGAACTCAATGTCCTGCATCACAACATCAGGCAACATTGCCATTCGACCGAACAAGTATGCCTCGATGTCGTCTGCGCTGCTGTTGATATGAATGAATTCGGATCTCGGGAATAGACGACTGAAGAGCCGTTCTGTACCCGGGAGCTCACGGGATGTTGCCATAAACTGTATTTCTCCTTCCCGTAAAAGATCACGCACGTACTGGAGTAAAACTGGCTGACACTGCTCGGAAACTTCGTCTAGAGCATCAATAATGATATATGTCTTGGGTATGTGGCGTGTCTCCCGTTTGAGGCAATCCAGCAATTCAGTCCCACCTGGCCGGCTTGCTCCTTTCATGTGTCGTTCGAAAAGTTGCTGTGTTGCATCCGATATGGACCCCTGGGACAGCAGAACTTGGCACAGCAGATTTGCGAGGATGGCAGCAGGTGTTTGACTTTCAGCTTCGCGTTGTCGCCAACTCGCAAAGAAAAATAGAGTAGGACTGTTCTTGTGTACATTATGTCTAGTTAAAGTGTCAATAACCTGCGCCGCCAGAACTGTCTTACCCACGCCAGGAACGCCGAGACACAGGAGAGTCTGAATTTCTCCCGTCAACCAGTATTTGAACTTTGGCTCGGACAATAGGGCAGAACCAGTCCCCTCTTGGATCTTGGATACAGTATCACTTAGTGTTGTAGCCATATTGGAGGCAGAGAGCCAGTCAGTATAACGTCGAAGCCGCTGGCCGGAGTCGCGGTCCGCTTCCAATTTTATGACTTGCTTCGACTTGGCTACAATAGAATCAGTTATGTGAGGGGAGGAAGTGGGCAAATTCAGACCTTCGTAATTGATCTCGGATAACTCCTCAATACAACGGCGCATTTTATCTTCAGTTTCTCTGTGGTGAAGATACTGATCAGTGGCCAATTGAATGTCGCGCACTGCCCTGTATTCATCGAGGGCCACATTCTGTAAGCCATCAATGACGTTGAATCGGTACAATGTTAATTGAAAGGCCATTCCAGTGTGAAAATATTCAAAACGTCGCGCCTCGTCTTCAGAATCGGTCAATATCCTATTAAAGGCTTTGATGTGGTCTCCTAAGCTCGAGGTGAATGTGTTCCGGGGTCCCCCGCCTGCACCAATGCTGACAAGCTGAATATTACTCTCCGGCCAGAGGCTCCGTGCTTCCTCATAAAGCGAGTTGACAGGATTATATCGCACGGATTTCATCACCTTATTGTCAAAGTTTTCAAAGTATGTGGGAGCTGCAGAGGTAGCACGTGCTGCTTCCCAGATATTGTATTTGACGTCCTCTGGAGCTGTGGGATTTCGGTAGCTCCGCATGAGTTCATAGTTCGCCGAAGCGTCCACCGCAGCGATAACCCTGAAGCACCGTGGTATCAGCGCGAACGAATATTTGGAATTATGTCGCAGACAGATGTTTTCTTACACTTTGCAGGGTGAATCAGCATCTTGCATTGGATCTTCAAGGGTGGCAGAAGCCGAAGTCATTCTCCTCAGAATGCTTTCCAGTTTATCCTGGGCGATTGTGGCTGCGACCGTTGGCCTCATGAAAGCATTAAACTTGGATCGTTTCGGTTCAAACAGTGATCGTGAAAAGTCCATGTATGCATCGATGCACTCGTCAATGCCCATATGCAACCTGCCCAGCATTATTGCTATCAGACTGTGACTAAGGTGTCAGCTGTGATCATGGAAACCCCAGTGCTCGGGGCAATGCAATTCGCTGCTGGCACTCCTCGTGGAATGTGCTACGATGTTAACCTACCCGCCTGTAGACGTGCCTCCGATCATGTCGAAGACTTGCCATGGTTCGAACCTTTCCTTGACTCGGCGGCCCTCATTCAGGTGTCTCATCAACTGTCGAAGGATCAACAGCGACGAAAGTCCTCGAACGCCTCCACCGTCTGTGGGTAAATGTTAGCCTCTGGAGGCGGCTTCCTAAGAGCGCTTTACCTAGGGAGAGGCATCGGATATGTCTATCTGGAGGATCCATCGGGTGGCAGACGGTCTCAATTTATTTCCATGGTTTGATGACCTACGACAATATGCCGGATATCAAAAGTGTCGAAGCTGAGGGCGGGGCACCTGCATGTACGAGGCTTGGCTTGGCACAGGAGGGGTAAGTCGCCGAAAGTGCCACTACTTGACATAAGGATCAAACACTGCTGTAACAGCTGGAAATCTGTCAAGCTACCAGTGGCGTCTTAAAAAATTGAAGCGGTCGCCGTAGGGAATGGAAGGCCATGAAAACCATGGTTCGGGCACCAGCGTCGGCCATCCAGGCTTCCCTTGCAATGCTGGGTGCTCCGACCCCCCTTGCGGTGGCTGGGACTGTGCTTGTGACGTTCGCGGCTCTGATTAAACAGCTTCGGAATCTGGAAGATTATCTAACAGCAGAAGACGATGAGGAAGACCGATCTGCTCTGGTCAATGTTATGCGCCGGCTCAGTCTGCAGAGAAATTCGTTCGAGGACACAGCGGTGGAGCTTCTCTGCGATGTGGTTCCGTTTGCAAACATTGCTGCTTTCTTCATCCCGCTCAAAAGTGACAAATGGAAGGAGGTAGATGTGCAGGCCACCGCTCGTAGACGACTTGGAGTTCATGTGGAGGTTTACTGTGGAACTTGCACAAGCATTCTTCGGAGTTTGCAAGATATTAAGAACATCGCGGATCAAGTCAGACCTCCAGATATGACGGTAAGCTCAATCTGATCCCAGTGGATATCAACTATGGCAGCTAATAGATTCAGGTTGAGTGGGACTATGAGGAAACTGATATAGTGGCATGGAAGGCGAATCTTCAGGATCTCTGGGACGATCAGAGTCAAAGGGTGGTTAGTGATCTGGAGGAACATAATGATAAACTTAGGAATGTCCTTTCCCAGGAGAACCAAGCTCGCAGAGAACGAATAAAAGCATCAAGTTTGAACCTGCAGGCCATTGTGAAGTTAACAGCCGACCCAAAATCTACAGAAACAAAGAAGCTGGTGGACCTCTGCAATATCCTCCGGAAAGAAGACGAGGAGGCTCTCCCAGGAGGTCCAGGCACTGCGAAAAAGGCTCAAAATCGGTCATTGTAAGTTTGTGTTCGCAGAATCTTTACAAGGCCTGGATGTGGTCCTCTGAACTGACCTTTGTCAAAAGCCAACTTTGTCAATCAGGAAATCCTTCCTGCGGGATGGCCTCGACAACTCCTTACGAGACACGCAGCGCCCTTCGGTTACGCTGGGTAATCAACCATTTGCCGGAAATTGAGAACTTCCAGTCCCAGTTGTGCTGTTGGCATGGGTGTCCAAATAATACTTCGTTTTCCTCACTTGCGGCGTTCATGTCCCATGTTTTCGGTTGCCCGTGTGGGAGCGAAGCAAAATATGCTTGCCTTCGACGCCTGGAGAATGCATGGTACGACAACCGCCGTGCTTGGGATTCACAATCCACCTCACGGCACCTGCCAGGGTTCACACTAAAGCCCGAACTACAGTGGCCCTGTGAGGACAAAATCTTTCGCCAACGCGAGTCTCCTCCAGAGCTAGTCGTAGATAGAAGCTCGCAGAATCCAAGGTCTGGGAACGCAACGGTCGACGTGGCACGATACAAGGTATGTCCGTAGTCTCCTTCGGTGCTCAGATTTCGTTGGCCATTTATCCTGACTCCCTTAGGGTGTGGTCCTGGCGCGGAAGCGCATGCAGTGGAAATATCCAGCCGACCTGGAGTACTTCAAGGAAGAGAGCCAGACCTTACGCCAGCTAAAGCATTGCCACATTATCCAATTCTTTGGCTCTTACACCCAGGTGCGCGACTATACAATACTGCTGTATCCTTACTGCGAGTATAACCTCAGCAGGTTCATGGAGGAAAACTGCCAGGCAAGGAGTATGGAGGAGGTATTCGAGTACCCCGAACTGCTGCGGGATCGTTTATATTTGGAAAGCTTCTTCCCGTGTCTAGCTCACGCGCTGATGTACATCCACACGAACACCACCCGCCATGCAGACATCAAACCTGACAACATCCTCATCAAGCAAAGCTTGGCCAAGGTCGAGGACTGCCGCCGCTATCATGTATATATTGCAGACTTTGGGTCTGCCAGCACATACTCATCCGCAAGCCGAACGAAACGGTTCGCGAGGTCAACGCCGAAATACTGCGCCCCAGAACTCGGCCCAGATTCTGAGACAGAGGATCAAATCGAGTCCACGGCATGGGGTCGTGCAGCGGACGTCTTCTCCCTCGGCTGCGTCTTTGCAGAGATGCTGACCGTGCTGGCGTGCGAAGAAGTCGTTGCGTTTGACATCTTCAGGTCAGAGAAGAGAGGTGCTGATGGGGTGGCGCTACCGAGACAACCACCCCGTGAGACTGTGGATGAGTCGTTCTGCAAGAGTCTGCCTCGAGTGCATGAGTGGTTTGAGAAGCTTGCCAAGTTCGCCAGTGCAGGTCCAGTTGCCGGAAAGGATCTGAGAAACTACTGGTACCGGCGCGGGAAATTACAGGCGTTCGGTCCCTGGAAAGACACGTTTCTAGATACGCTTGATATTGCGGCATCCATGTTGAGCGAGAAACAAGACGACCGACCTAAAATTGCTGAGGTTGTGAAGCGACTTGACGTTGATGACTGCTGCAATCGTGAGATAATACCTCTCTATGCCGCTGGCTAGGTACATTTTGAAATACGATCAAGGTTATCGGTTGTCCTATCTCGGGCATTTTTGCGCAGCTTCAAGTCGAATCAAGACAGCGAAAGTGGGGAAACATTATATAACACCCCAGGACTACCATGACTGCTAGTCTGCCTTGAATACCCTACCTGATTGTGCTGTTTTCTAAAGAGTAATACCTGGTTTGATAGCGTCCACCACAAGGTTCTTAAAACTGACAGCAAGATTGGTTTCAGCGTCATCATCCTTGTCCACACCAAAATCACTCAGCAAGCAGCATCCGACAGCCCGAGCGTATACTTCGCCCATTTGGCGTTCGACTTCAGTTTTCACGAACCTCCTCCATTCCAGTCGTACCAGGTCGACTTTGGGTGGACTGTTTTGCTTCTTTGCCCACTTAATCTGGCTTTGGAACATATTGTCGACAGTATCCCACACCCCAATCTCCATCAGCAGGACACCGAGTGAGTAGAGGTCGTGAATCAATGTATACTTCTTGGAGGGCTGCTGCTGTCGATTGGGATGACGGTATAAATTCGCCTCGATGCTGTAGTCGGGCCTCAAGTCCGTCTCCTTTGCAGCTGTCGGGCGAGCAACACCCCATCCAGCCACGTAAGGAATCAAATAGGTGGAACCTGACTGTTTGGACGGCCTGCTGGAAGGAATGATGATGATGCCGTGGCTCCACAGATCCTTATGCACCCAGCCAGAACTGTGAATGTTCAGCACCGTCATGGCCAAGGCATAGGCCAGGAAAAACCGGTTCCGGAGAGACTGCTTACGCTTGCCCCCGGAACTGGGTTTCTGGTCAATTCTAGACCAACAATCCTCCCATATGTCTAGGAAAAATGTGTCTGAGCCCGACTCAGGCGGTTTCGATCCCCTAATGAGGCCATGAAGAGTCTTGACTGAAAGCTGTTCTTGCATGATCCCCAGGTTGGGTAGTTCGTACAGGAAAGACACTTGCTCCTTTTCAGGCTGGTCAATATAGCCGATACATCGCAGTGTGAGAAGCGAAGGATTTGTCGCCGTCAATATGTCGTCACTGTCAGTCTCTTCTGCAAATGGAGACTGGTTGAGCGTCCAAGCCAATTTTCTGTAAGGAATTTTGAGCTCTGCGATCGCTGTGGCGTCTTTCTTTGATTGAATTGCCTGCAATAGTGCAATACTGTATGTACAGTGTTCGAGCACGACTTCTCTCGGCTCAGGCATATCGTCCGCATGGAACTTGACGATCACAACATTGGAAGCTACTATTCGCTCAGACCGCGGCATGATAAAGCCGCTCAATGGTGTGAAAGTTGCCGGCGGGATGACATTGACGAGCGAACGTCGTTTTGCAACGTCTTGCAGCCCCAAGTCTCTGGCATTTTGTGTGTCTGCAAACTCAGCAAAGCTCGTTAACCCTTTCAGAAGTATTCTCTCCGTCATTAGGGCGGAGCACTGTCGTAGGCGGTTTGTCCACTCGCTATACTCTGTCAGCATCTGGAGGATCTTCTCTTTATCAAATAAAGACCATAATGTCTTTTTGTTGAGCTCTTTGGCATCTTCACGAGCACCATCAACAAACTTCCGAACCCGATCCTTTACCCTGATCTTTTTGCTCGGTGGAGGTTGGGTTACCGCTTGCCCCACTACCGGATCACCATCATCAGCCAAAATGCCATGTTTAGCAGCTTCGATCGCATACTCGGCTAAAACCCTCTTGAGATTATCGAGAATCGACTTGACGTCTGCTTGAAGCATTTTGGACTGCTTTTTGTAAGCTTCGGCATTAGCAGCGTCGTCGAAGAAATTCGACTGGAACAAATCGACATAGACAAACTCATGTGCAAGCTTTTGTCGGATCTGCACAGTTTCAGGTCCGTACGACCTCACATCGTCCACCACACCTTTGATAAAGACCGTGATAGTGTAGATCTCATGGATAACAGTTACTGTGGTCCCGAAGATATCCATGGTTGGAATTGTGTCATGCTGTGGATCAGTTGGCACACCTAAGCAGAGTCCAGACCACAATTGCTCGAAAACGGGACTACATATGTTGCTGGCGCCTGATTAACAAACACGGGGAGCTGAAAGACTCCTGTGTCCTAAGGCTGAACCCCTCCAAGATCAAAGCTAGGCCCATTTGGAACTCGGCCAATCCTGGAACACCCACCCCGCCTTTAGCACCAGATTTCTAGGTTGAAAGTTGTTTTCTACCAATCTTGGGAGAGCACAAACTTGACCACTAGCGCATGGACACGCGGTTACTTAATTGGCTAGTTGTAGCTGTTGCGTTGCTGCAACTTTAGCTAAATGGGTGCTTGTTTTCATCTCGGTTGTGGTTGTCAACCTCTATTTTCTAGCAGATTCATCGGCGTCTTTTAGTACACAGTCAATAGGCCTCCCCTTCTTCCTTGTGCGGAAAAGCGGTGCGCGATTCAATCCAGGAGATTGTATCTGGGCTGTTGTGAGAGGAGGGGAGTCGACAAAGTGACAAACATGCCAAGGCTGCTCGAGCGCAATAAAGTTTCACCGTAGATTGACTATGGTGAAGTATTTAGCCGCCCTTTGAATTCTCAAGTTTCCCCAGAAATTGCGGTGGTAAGAAAAGTGTCCACAAGCTGCGGTTCTGAAAGGACCAGATCACCACTCAATAACTTCCACCACCGAGCCAACCCTCTCCCAGTGTCTCCAGCCCTTTTTCTTTCTGGTTCATCGTGAATCCTGCGTCTGTGCAATCGAATCAGCCGTTCTTGATCACCCTGTTGCACTCTCCTTCTTGCGACCACCCACACTTTCCTCTCCTTCTCTACACTAGCAATCATGGTATGCAATATCCCGGGTTTCCCTTTGCTCGACCAGAGACAGCTGCGCGATAGCTTCCCCTGACCTTACATCACGCGCGTTGGGACAAGGAGAAAGCAGACAGTGTTGTGAAACCATGGGCTGACCAAATTCTATCCAGTCTGCCCCCAGACCATCATCACCTCTAACCTCAGGACCCGAGTCCGGAGCTGATTCCACACCTTCAGCATCCAAGACCAGTAGATCATCGATCGCACGAGCAGGATCACCACCTTGAGGACCTCGGTCAGCCATCCGTCGACGCGCCGCTGCCGATCACAAGGAATCAGTCAAGAATGCACGACCAGCATCCACACGTTCCGCAGGTGCGGGAGGTTCTAGTGGAACCATGCTGAGATTATATACGGATGAGAGCCCTGGATTGAAGGTGGACCCTATGGTCATCTTGTTCTTGAGTTTGGGATTTATTTTCGGCGTGGTGGCACTACATCTTATGTTCACGCGGTGTCTGGTTTGATGAGGTCCGTCTACTAACATTAATCCTTTGACAGTTATCGCAAAGATCACCAAGAGATTCTCATAGAGGGCAAGCGCGCAGAGTCTTTCCAATGTTGGCCAGCGGATGTATTGGCGGCCAGATGGCGACGGAGACAAAAGCATTTCTTGGTCAATACTAGCAATGTGTACACTATTTTGGGTTGATCAAAGAAGCCCTCAGGGCGTTGCAGATTCCCGTTGACTTTATTCATTCAATCAGATGAGGTCCTGGGCCTATGAGCTTGAATTGGGGGTGGATGTCCAAATGCATATATTCGTGAATCCCATATTGAAATAATCCGGTCTCGGATTAGTCAGAAATTGCATTGTGTGCCTCGCATGTGACGATCAACACCAACACCAACACCGACTGCATCTTCCAGGCAACTGAACGACAAAAATATTCCGCTCAAAAGTCAAAGAACTGGAGGACCAAACTCTATCCAACAAATATTCCGTACATCTCACGCCCCGCAGAATTTATTATCCCATTGATTTCGGACGAGGGGAGACAAATCAGCATATTGCGTGAAGAATGCGCCACTCTCGACATCGTTCCAACACAGCTGATAATCAGATACCAACCTTTTCTGGCCGTTGGCAACGACGGAGAGCTTTCAGGTCAATCATATCTCACCGGTCCGTTCAAGAGAACTTTCTTGACCAATATTTCTTCTGTCGAGTACGAGCTGGCAACTACTAAACCACTAAGGAGAGGAGTGAAGCGGCATCAAGATGGGGCCATTGTCTCCGGCTCAGGTCACTCCAGATGGCTGAATATCATTCCCTCCGAGACAGGTCTTTCGCAGCCTGTAGACCACCCAAACCAATTACTGTATAGCCAAAAGGCGCATTTACGTAGGAAGAGACTACCGATTACGAACGAGTCGCTTTCGCTTCAAACTCAATTTGTGTGCATGATCGGCAGCGATATCTTACACTGGTCCCCACCATCGGATTATCTGGAGGACACAGGTAATGACACACGTTGTGATGATCCCAGCGATGCTTCTATATCTACATTCGACTTTCTCCTTGGGGATCCTCAAAGGGCGGCGGTCTATGTGATGCGCGCGCCTCTTGTGTCGAAACACCCCATTAAGAACATTGAGGGGGTTCATATCCACGCCGTTACGAAAATGCTGACCGACAATATCATCAGCGCCCAGGCCCTGCTGGACTTTTTCGACATCTACATGAGGTCGTCACCAGATTTAGACCCCTGTTTTCGGTCATTGCAGGCTTTTGCTCGGCCAGGGAGACGTATCAGAGCTTTCCACGTGCTACAATTTCTCTGAAAATTTTGGGATTTCCACTTCACAACGCGCTGTGGCTCCCAGAAGCTAACGAGAGCGTGTCGAATCCTGATAATCCTCAGGGGGGAATCCTCAATCCTGCACTCTTTCCCTTTGAGCCGTGGACAGTCTTTTGCCTGTATCGTGAATCTGGTTGCTAGAATTTCCAATCAGATGGCTTGGAAGCGGTGCTTGCAATATCTTCGGGAAATTCTATATTTGTTGCCTCGGAACTCTTATGCGACCCAGCGGAGAGTAAGCCTTCAAACAAGATCAAACGCATTATCGGTAATCTGGGGTTTCCCAGTGTAGCAATGCTTGTTGCCCCAGCTGCTCCTATTGTCCGCAAACCAGAGCTAGACAGATATTCGGTTGTGAGGCACGAGCCTTTTGACGGGCAGCTGTTAGATCAGTTCCGCAAGACTCAGTTACATCTCTCATTCACGGAGTACGAGAGGGCCGTCGACTTCGGTGTACGAGGTGGCAGAGACAACGTGCTCCACTTCGTCGAGGCTCTTGTTACAGTGACGGACCCCGGGGAGAAGGTCGCTGACTTGGACGTACTGAAGGCCCTGGAGAACGAGAAGCTTCTTCGCCGCTGTATGTGCACGTGCAGGAGTACACAGCTCAGTACTAATGACAGAAGTGAGCATAAATGGCCGAGATTAATCGCAGTGGACAATTGGGAAGAGCTGCTTCAACGTCCCGAAGAAGCTGCCGTTCTCCGTGCTCACGATAATTGGCAAGCCCGTGCTCGCCGCTACCTGCATCAGCGTCAGCAAGGGATATCCAACGTTTGTTTTGGCGCAAGGAACGTGCTGGAAATGCGTGAAAAGGATGGGGGAAACTCCTCGTGACAATATATCTGTGTCACGAGTGGATGCACCGACTAGATCGAGTCTCATTGAGTCGATCAGGTCAGACACCCAGACGAGATCCGTGAGTATGTTTTTCTTTCTAAAGCGTTCATCCTGACTTGGCGGTAGCCTCGGACCTCGAATCGGCCTCGTAGGTAGGAGTGAGTGATATATTTCGAAATACTAGGGATTAAATAATAAGTTATGGAGTATTATTCAACTCACTAGGAGAAGCTTCTTCTATAATCTCTTCTCTTCGTTATCGAGCCAGGTCTCCAAAGTCTTCACACGACTGGCTATCTCCATCGCGACATCAAACCTGAAAACTTCCTCCGAGGCACTGGTAAGCAGGGCAACATTGTCTACATGACCGATCTTGGACTCGCCGCCTATGAGGGGGATTCGTACGACCAAGCCACGAGTCACAAACCTGCGGGACCTTCCCCCCCCCCCGGATCTCATTGGTTGGCACGTGCCGGTATGCCAGCGTTAACGGCCATTTGAACGTCGGTAAGTCCCGTGGAAATTCCATTGTTGATTCGAAGGCTAAAAGTGCCCTATGCAGCTCCATCGTGGCGTGACGACCTTGAGTCGCTAGAGTACATGGCCTTGTATTTCCTTCGTGGATCACGTCCCTGGCAAGGGATGCAGGCGCCCAGTCGCCAAGAGAAACACCGCCTTGTTTTGGAGCGGAAACAGACATTTCCTGTGACTGAGCTATGCGAGGCACTTTGCTTCTCCGCCATGCTGGGAAGGGTGGTAATCCTGTCACTGCGGGCACCGCCCTCCAAGCCTCTGGAATAGGTGCAGTCACCCATGTGATCAAACCCTAACACGTAGCGCAGAACACTTTAGATGACATCTATTTGAGGACCTTGTTTACTATGGGAGTGCCAAGGTACAGGGTGTTGTAATATGAGGTTCAACCGACTATCATAAGGTTGACGGAAAGTCTCATGGAATCATTCCGCACGCTTGGAAATGATAGAGAAGCTTCTAGTATGTTACTTCAGTGAATATATGCTCCTCCATTCTGAGGAAGTAGAAGAATAATAACCATATGCTTCCACTGCCGTAATTCACAACACAGGGTACCCAACTGACGGCTCAAGGGATAGCGTTGTGCCACATTCCGAAGTTAGCATCACCGCAAAACATGTGAAAAGGCGGATGCGCCTCATCCGGCCCATCGGCAATTCGCAGGGTACGCAGATACGCCCACATGGTCGCAAGCGGCGTGTCCTGAAGGTGCGGATCTGTTGTCCAACCGGGTCGACTATAGTACCCTCTATGGTTCTTTCCAGAATAGTACATAACAAAGGCCACTACTTGTGGTATTGGATTAGGCGTTTCTGGGGGTCAAGAAGCGGTCAGTTGGTTCAGGTTCGGAGGGATATGAGCACAACTGTTAACTGTGTATAAGCTGATCTTCACTTACCGTGTGAGCAGCTGCAACCAAACTTTCAAGGCGAACGAAGAAACTTTCCAAAACTGATTTCATTTCACGGTCAAGCGTTGCTGCTACAGCATGCTCATTCTGTCACGGGGAGGAAGATCAGCAAGCCGAGGGGAATTGGAGTGCCTCATTCTATCTACTCACTCGATTTGCGTTGGCAATGGACGTCTCGAACCCCCGCAGAGCCTTGGATAGTTCGTCGGACTATTCACTCATAAGCAATTACCACCAAGGTTCATGGCCGCAAGGAAGGACGATTGACGTACCCAGCGGTCCCCCGCCTCGGTGTCAGAAGGGTCGTCAATGCTAAGAATCCTCCTGATGCGTGGTTTAATGTCCAAGAACGACCGCGCAGAAGGTGCATCTGATTGGAAGCTCAAGGTCCTAATTGGCCTTGAGTAGATATACTTGTGTTGTGTTAGCCAAATGCTAATAATAATAATGGGGTCAAGCCACAGGTGCAGAGGACTCGCAAAGCGGCGGTCGACGTCGTCGAAAACGCGAGCCCTTAGCACCACCAACTGTATTCTACGAGTTATACGCATCTCAGCTTGGCACTGAATTGAGTTAAGCGCTTGGAATTCTGAGCGGGTTTCTTTGTGTTGGTCGCGTAGGTTACTAATGGTGTCTTGTTGCTTAATGACAATTTCCCTTAGAGACTTAACCTCGTTATAGATACTTCCCATTATTTCTACCTCTTTTCGCTACTCTACTATATCCTCTCTAAGGGTTACGTTCCTTCCATCTCTAGGTAGTATTAACTTTACGGCCGTAGATCGGGTGGCTCGCTTTAAAGTCTTCGTTCCTACAGTAATTGTTTCCTCGTCGTAGAGATCCTTATTTACTTTGTTTTCTCGGGCTTTCGGAGCATTTCTCCGGTTACGCTAGCTCGATAGTCCCGGCGCGTTTATCGTTCGTAATCGCGTCGGCTATATATTCTACTTCGGGATCGGCCGCTATCGCCCGGCGCCGCGAACGCGGGGTCGCGTTAATGGAGGGTTAAGTTTAATATCTATCGATAGAACCTACAATAGAGTAAAATAACTAAAATAAAGATACTCGCTAACTCTTCTCGCGGGATTCTTTCCGAAACGTAATCTCTTAATTTAATATAGTCCGATGGAATTAATAGTAATAATCGAAACCGCGGTCCCCTCTATAAATATATTATAGCTTTCTCTTACTAGAAGCTAAGGATATAAGCGGGCCGCGCTTACCTAAAACTACTATAGTTTAACTAATCTAACTACTAACGAGCGGAGGTAATATAGTATTACTATACCGTACGGTCTTAGCACTTATAGCGTCATCTATTACTTACTCTTAGCGCCTTAGTATAGCTACCTATTTATACGTAACTAGCGAAGAGCCCTTTTACGAGACAGCTCTTCACTAAGTCCACATTACTTACCTTAAAGAATAAAGACAATACAGGAGATCTAACTACGCTCCGTATACGCCGTACGAACCTAGGCCACTAATTAGCTTCCTAGAGGGATAGGAGGGGTTTTACTTTAGATTCTTAGATCTCCTTCTAGTATATTACGTAGATAGGCTAAGCCGTAGATAGGCTTCCGTATATTTCTCGAACTATAGCTAAACCTCTTCTTCCCCTATCGGGCCTCGCCCGCTCTACCTTACCCACTAGGAAACTAAAACCGATATTCGATCGGCTATTTTAGTAGCTAGCCGCCCTCTAGCCGTTATTATATCGTCTCCGACCGTCCCCTAGAGTCGCGCCCATTTCTATATTATAATTCTATATACCTTAGTTAAAGAGGCGGAAGCCGTTTATACCGTATTTAATAAGTTCTAGGCCGACTATAGTAAAAGATATAGTAAAGCACTAGATAACCCGAATATATATACTACCGGAGTTATCGGTCGATACAACGTCGTCTTAGTCTACCTCGGAGGGATAGGAAACGTAGAGGTATTAGTAGCTACCGCATCGGTGTTTTGGCCCGCAGCCCAGCGCAACTCAATTTACTATAGGAGCCCAGGGAGCCTAGGGCTACCGTATAGTAAGGATAGTTTTCCCTGCGCTTATACATTATAACTAAGCTCTTACAGTAACTATTTTCTACCCTATAAGTATACTATAATCGATATTTTTCCTATACTCCTATATATAATCGATATTTTCCCTATACTCCTATAGTCTATATAGTAAACCCTCTATCGCCCTTCTATTCTATTGTTTTAAGTTTAATAGCTAGTATACCTATACGTACTATATTTCTTTAAGTTTTATTATCTCTAGCTATACCTAGATACGCCGTACTCTCTCTAGGTTTAATTATCTCTAGCCGTGCCTAGTCTTTATTATCTCTAGCCGTACCTA